AATCCCCATCCATAGTATGGGAGTCCCAGGGGTATCCTGCCTGGTGAGTCAATGGGAAAGATGTTCATCCTAATAGCAGTTTATTCTCAGACTCCAGGATCCTCTGCACTGATAGTTTTCTGCTGGACCCACCATGCAGTCTTTGAGATGTCTTTTTATCACCCCCAAAGCTCATTCTGTATTTTATTAGCTTCTCCAGATAAATCACTTGTTGTTCCTAAGGAATCAGTTCCAAATCTGATTTAAAGATAACCACTCCCTTGTACCTTGATTGCAGCTATCTTCCTGGAGATTCACTTACACAACTGACCCAGAGATAAGTAGTTACTTCTGCAAGTGTCTTAATTGTGATGTTACTGCTTTATTCATTCTGTGGCCTAGATATTTGCCAGATAGAAATGTTCATTTTTAGTAATCAATGGTTAGCTTGTCGTAAGAAATGGCAAGTATATTTGTTTATTTCAACTGCACGTCTACCTTGGCTCAACAGTTCCCGTATTCCTTGACAACCTTATTGCCATTAGAATTATATTGAATTTCCAGCACATTTCTAGTTCATGCACTTACTTTGGCTTCCAGCAGTAGGAATAGGGAGGGAAAGAGATGAGGAGGAAGTCGATGGCAGCACTGTTAGCCTGGTCTTTTCCTGACATGCAGTCAGTGAGTATGGGGTAAACCAAACGCCATGGTATTTTTTCCTTACTCTTTTCACCTGATGACTGAGGACTCCAGCCCACCAGTATTTCACCAACATATGACCCAGTGAAAACAATCATCATGTGACAGCATAGTAATGACTTTAAGAGCAGCAAAGTAGTTCACATACTTAAAATATTTTAAGCATCTAGCTGAGTTAGGTCCATAATTCTGTATTATTAAATATCTGGTGGCATGAGTGAAAGCCAAGCAGATAATGATACAAATACAGCCACTGATACTAAATTTTATGGGATTGGACCTTGAAAAAAATGAAATTGTTCTCATGCTTCAAATTTTTTAGAGATAATGCAATATTTCCCATCATCAGGAAAGCCAAAACACCAAACAGCTTCATTATTTTTAATAATATTTTTAAAAATTATTTGTTGACTTCATGTCCTGGTTTGGGCTGAAATAGAGTTAATATTCCTTTTCAGGAACTAGAAGAGTGCTGTTTTTTGGATTTAGCTTTGGGTTTGGTATGAGAAGAATGCTGATAGCACACTGTTTTCAGCTGCTACTGAGACTTCCAGGACACTCCGATTCCCCATGTTCTGCCCATGTGCAAGGGCACTGAAAGCAGGGAGAGAGCATGGCCCAAGCACCAGACCCAAACAGGCTAATGAAATATTCCATATCATGGAATGTCATGCTCACTATATAGAGGAGAGGTGGTTGGGAAGGAGCTCTCTCTCGCTTCCAGGATTGTGATTTCAGGTTCTTGGTATTTCAGGATCGCTGGCCGGGAACGGGCTGGATATTGGTTAGCGGGTGGTGAGCAATTACATTGTGTATTGGCCGTTTATGTTTTTCTATTATTGTCATTGTTCTCATTTTATTACCATTATTAAACTCTTCCTATCTCAGCCTGTGAGTCTCCCTTTACCCCTCTAATTCCCTCCCCCATTCCCAGGGGAGGGGGAAGGGTAGGTGACCAGCTGCAGTGGTTGGCTGCCGACCAGGCTCAAACCACAACAGTTCACCTAAAAGATTTCATGTGAAGACACTAAAATGATTTTTTAAAATTTTCCTCATATTAAGACTTTCCTGTCTATAATTTGATTTCGTCTGAAACAATTTCTAACCTGAAAAATGCCATTTAATTCATCAAAGCATTACAAAATAGCATCAAGTTTAAATGATGAAACTGAATTCTCAAAACATTCTTTCTTATAAAAATTGCTTTTGATGCAATGTCGTCTTTCTCCAAGAGAAGAATACTTCTCTCCAAAATAAATTTGTATTTAGGTGTTACATACATAGTAGGGGGAAATGTCTTGTTTCTACATATTGTAGCATCACTCTTGGTAGGAACCAAGAAAAATAAATTTCTGTACTTGGCATTTGTGCCAATAAGCTGGAACAGTAGAATCTGGTTTCCTTAATGCCCTTATATAGTGAAAAATCTCTTTCCAGGCCATGAATTGCCCCTTTCTGCAGCTGCCCTGTAAGACTGGCGATTTCTATTAAGAGCTAAGGTCTGCCCAGCACTGTGCAATTCTCTGAGAGCAATCAATGGAGGCTTCCTAAGGAAACATGTCAGCACAGGCTTACAAGTACAGTGCTAATTCCTTTATACAGTCTTTGAGTTTCGCTCTGTCCTAGCACACAGTAGCGCTTGAGTGGTTGTTCTTGTTCCACAGGTTTCTGTGGCGTGGATGTTTGTTCAACATGTTCATGAGTTAGAGGGTCAACCCACCATGAGCTGATAGCTGTTTTGAAATGGAGGATATGAAAGCATGTAGGGGACCTCTGTGTTCCTATGCTTTGTGTTGTTTCCACTACTGCTCTTCTCCTCTAGCTGGCAAAAGAAGATAAAGTCTGAAGATAAATTACACTGGGAATCATCTAGAGACATCTACCTATGATTTGAGAAGGAGAGTATCAGCCAGCCATACAGACTGTCCACACCCTAGCAGTGTATGTCATTCCCCCTGCAGTGGTTCCTGGTCCTATGTTAGATCTTCTCTGTGGTGTTCAGCCCAATAACTACAAGCTGATCAAATGCTTCCTTTGCCTCAGACATGAATGGAGACATCATTTGTCTTTAACAGCTCTCCTATGAAATCTGGTGTGACCAGCATCTACTAGGTATAAAAATCATAAGACAAATATCCTTAATGAACATTTTGTCTTGAAAGGATTGATTTAGAGAACTAGGGGTTTTGGAGGTACTGGTTTCAACCTTGCAGACTGTAATCTGAAATCTTAACGGTGGTGGAGAAAGGGAGCAAAAATATTGCTGTTTCTCAGAAATGTTTATGAATTTCTTCTCAAACCCAAGAGCCATTTAAAATCAGAAAGTCATGACAGCAGCAGTGTATTTCTGGCTTTACTGGTAAACAATTTGTTCTGGTCTTAGTGGAAAAAAAATAAAGGAGGAAATAATGAAAAGAGCATTTACTTCACATCTATTCAGCAGTACCATACTATTGATACTAGAAAGCACTGAGTACTTTGTACCAACATAATTCTTTGATTTTTTGAATTCACCTAATTTTCTTTCCAAAGTTCGTTTCAAAGTTATTCATGCAAAATGTTTTGCTGGCTTTTGCATGGGTTTAAGTTAGTTACTTTATGGTTCTGATGTACTGAGAGTAATCTTAATTCCAATTGGTACTTTAATTAAAATTTAGGCATAAGTAAAGGAATGGCTTTTACAGAGCAATAATTTTGAAGCTAATAGCTGCTGCAGCAAACCTGAATGCCTTTCCTCTTCCTCACAAAGGTCAAATGTCTCTCTAATGTAACTGAAGTGAAGTAATTGTAAGCAACAGTGCAGGTGCTTGTAAGGTCAGTGGTAGCTGAGTAGTTGATAGGGCAGCAGCAGGCAGGTGTGAGCAGCCATAAAGGCGGCTGGTTAGAAGAGGAAATGACTGAGTAGAAGAATGTTCCTGCCAGCTTGGGAGCTGTGATCCTGGGGACCAGAAACATCCTTGAAACGTGTAGCTGGCCTCTTTGAAGCCCAGCTGTGCACTAAGAAATGGGACACATCCTGAGATTGCATTGATGATCACAAAACCAAGAAAATTTAACCTTCATTTATCATCAGAAAAACTGGAAACAGTCTAAGAAATTTAAATTGGTCTGAAGAAACAGAGCAGGTCTCTGAGAAACCTGATCTAGCTGAAGATGTCCCTGCTCATTGCAGGGTGGTTAGACTAGATGACCTTTAAAGGTCCCTTCCAACCCAAACCATTCTATGTTTCTATAATAAAGATGGTAGTTTGCAGATGTTCTTGTTGCTGTAGATTTGCATGTAGCAGTTTGAGTTGTTTTTTTTTTTTTTTTTTTTTAATCATGTATCAACATAATCTCCAAAGTTTCTGTGCAAATGCTTATGGAAATTGCAGCAACACCTGAGAATTATTGGAATGTGTGAAGGGTGAGGAGTGATGAGGGTTATGGGTGCAGAAATTGTTTTCCTTGGACATGACTTCAGACTAGCAGTTGGAAAGTCCTAGTTCACTGTGGCTGCAGAGATACTGCAGCACTTCTCTCCCTAATATGATTAATTCATGCACATCTTACCTCCTCTATTAAATCTAGCATTTTGAATATAAAATCATAAAATGAGATTGAGGCTTCTACTCTCAGGCTTAAGAATGTTTCTCTTCAGATGTATGAGTCAGCTTTACCCCCAGAAATGCAGAGTTCAGAGTGCAAATACAGAGTTTTTCAGGAAGGTTTTATTTTCACTAACAGGTCTTTGTGTTCCACTTATACTAAGAGAACAAGGATGAGATTGTGTAGGATATCTCCCCCATGAGAATATCTAAAACTATCATTTTCACTGCAGTCTGCCTGTCTGTCCTGTCGTCTTTTCTTTCTTTTGTTCATAATTACTTTTTTTCCAGAAGTTTGCCAAATCCATAAACCTTTACTATAAAATGATGCAGATGAAATTTCAAAATCATTGCAGATGATGGAATTGAACATCGGATGTTAACAGAAAAGAGAGGATCAACACCACTAAATACCACCCGAAAACTTTACTAACACAGAGCTTGTATTGTCTATGTAAGGCCCATGGTTGTATAGTCTCCGTTTCACTCCCATGCTAGTTTCTGAGTGATCTGAGCATCTGGCCATCTTGTTTTGTGAGAGATGTCCATCCACTGGGCTGTATTTAGCGGGGAGTTGTTAGGTTGGATAATTTGCGTGTCTATGTAAAAAGAGCAAAAGCAGAATATTAACAGTGATGTTCATACTGCAGAATACGAGGCACCATGTGTGACAGCTGACTTTATCAGTCCTCCTGTTCAGTGGGTGACTGACAATGTGTTATCTCTCCCCTGCAGTATGGGATAAAGAAGAAGGAAGAAAAAGAAGCAGAGGCCCAGGCCGCACTGGAAGCTGATGCTGAAGGGACTCTGACACGCCCAAAGAAAGCGATCCCTCCTGGCTGTGGGGATGAGGAGGAGGAGGAAGAAGAGAGCATTCTAGACACAGTCATCAAATACCTACCAGGGCCCCTGCAGGACATGTTCAAGAAGTAATAGCTGCAGACTGTTAGATGGGCATAAACAGTACTGCAAAGGATTTCTCTTTTGCCCAATGGGGATTTACAATCTTGCCATCCATCATGCAGACCTCCCCACCTCTGCCCTCTACTGCTCACTAGGAGTCCCTTTGCTTCTCATTCTCTTCTGACTGCCTCTCCCTTCCCTCCACCCCAAGTCTCATCCATTCCTTTTTTGTACATAGTCACATCCAGTAGATGCCTCTGAATGGATATAAAGATTAAAAAGCTGCAGACTACACAACTTTTATTATAAGCCATAGTACTATGTATGTTAAATAAGACAACTGTACATTAAGCATAGAAAAGGAACAACCTTATCTGCATTTCCATCCAAAGCAGAAAGGAGTGTTCACTAGGTGTGAAAAGTGGTCTCCTCTATAATTTTATTTTATTCTCTTTTTATTATTATTGATAATAATTATTAGTCATTATTATTAATGTTCTGGTTGATTGGCTCACATTAACCATTTGTTGTTGAGCATATCTGCCCTTGGAAGGGCTATCTCAGTCCTCCCATGGAAGCAGAGATTTTCTGTTTTAATTCCATCACTGGCATAAATAAATCATAATTTGGAAGGTAAATCACACATGACTTACACAGCTGACATCACTCAGAACTGTGGAAGAAGTGAGTCATCTGCCCTCAGATGCTGATGGAAGTTAAATGCATCAGAATCTAAGCAAGAATCATGTTACTTTGAGAATTAGCCATACACTTAACTTGAAAGAGAAGATTTGGTCAGATAGTTGCCATATAGAGAGCTGAAACCACAGGACTGGTTTAGGCAGTGTGGTACTTTAGTAGAGGACCTTCCCAACCCCTTTCAAGCCAATGAGCAAGTACATAGGCTGCTCTGATCAACTAAGCTTCCTCCTTCTGCCCAGTGCCATATTGAACTGTCCCATTGTCAGAAGTGCTTACAGGATGGACATTTGGTTTCCAATATATTGTTGCGGCTGTGTCTTGCCCAACCATTCCTGCAGTGTGTGAGAGAGTTTATGCAAACATCTCAGTATGCTCCTGAACAAAAAATTTTAAAAGATATTCATCATCTTTTCAGGTAAGCAGAAGAAAGCTGTACCATGGTTAAGGCAGTGAGCTTGTGAACTCTCAGCCTTTTAGCAGCATCTCTTATAATAGGGAAAAAATATTACGAAAGAGAAGAAATGTATTTATTTTGCCCTGCTTACCCAATTCTTATTCAGCTATGATAGTCCTTGCATCTTTGCAAATAACTTCAACCATGAGTTTCTGCTAAATCCAATGTGGAGGCTGAGGAAGTTTAACTGATCTACAAGCCAGAACCAGCTGATAAAGGTACAATTTATTTCAGATTGATTCTACAAACAAGACATGTTCATTCAAGTACAAGTTGCCAAGGGCTTCCCAGAGGAAAGAGAGGGCAGGTTTTACTCTTTTGAATAATGTCAGTGGGTTTTTGCCCTAACTTTCATTTAAAGCAAGGTATGTGTCTCCCTGCCTAAGACTTTAATGACCCAGAACACTCTCTATCTCTGAATCAATGCTTGGGTTTAGCATAGGAGTGTTGAGCAATTTACCATTTTCTAGGGAGTGTCCTACTCATCTCATGCAAATTCAGCAACTAGTAATTTGAGCCTATTTAAGTAAACCTCACAGAACTGAAAACTCTTCTCCTGTCACAAAGGCAGCAACTGTTTTTGATGCTCTGCCACAGAAGGAACTAAATCCAACACCTCTGAAAGCTAATAGGCAGAGGCTGGCTCTTTGCTTCAGCCACTTATTGGTAGTGAAATCTTCTAGCCCAGACCACACTGACACACTGACATCAACACTTTTGAAATGCTCTAACTAATCTCTGCGGCCTGTGTCCTCTAATATAAAAGTAGAACCAGCGGAAATGTGCCCCTGCTAAAAGGAATACATCCATTCATGTTTTCCCCTGGTCTTGTGCTGGAGAACTCTGCAAACAAACATACAAAAAAAGAGTATGAGCTCATTCTGCTTTGGCTTTTCTCTACTACTTGCTTGTTGGCCTTTCCCTAGGCCCCATCACTGACTCATTTCTTCATCCAACCAAATACTGTTCCTGATACAGCATCAGAATTTTCTGCCTGGTATCCTTGCAGAATGATACTGGCAGTTGTTTGTTTTCACAGTCTCCCAGGCAGCTTGATGTACCTGTATGTGAATGTATGTGTGAAAGATGAAGAAAAGGGAGAAGAAAGGAAGAAACAAGAGAAAGGAAGAGTGTTTGGTACTATTTTTTCTAACTGTGCCTCAGAAGCTGTGCCATTGAATGACTGGTCTAAGTCAGGACCTTGTGTGGCCTGTGCTCACATTTCATAAGCATGTAGTGCTATCTCTGGGATCAGAGCATTAAAATTACTGCTTTTATGGGCTGAGCTCCTGAGCTGTATGAACATCTGGATACAAACCCAGAAGAGGGCCATAAGAACTCTGTGCTGAGTTTGTTAGGCCTCATGCCAGGCTCACAGAGCAGGAGGAAAAAGGAAAGTAGTTTATTAAACAATATTTGCCAAGTCTTTTTCATTGTGGGACCTTATCAGCCATCCATGTCATCCCTTCTGTACCTCAGCTCTCTACACCTGCATCAGCCCTTCCTTCATGGACAGCAGAGAGTTCAGCCAGGTGTGAGCTGGTAGGTACCATTTTAATTTTTCTTTCAATAAAGAAACATGACAGAAGATCTACCACAGGTACTGGACAGGTTTTGCTTGGGTTTGCCTCACATAACCGTTGGTAACTTGCATGAGTTCTGGACCTGTCCTCAAATCAGTCCACTGTTCCTGAAGTGCTTAAGCCATGCTGAACAGACTCGAGAGTAGGCACTCTCCCCTCCCTTCTGCCTATCCATTTCTCTTCCCACTCTGAACTGGCAACATGGGACACAGACACCTTTGGCTCATGTACAGATGCGAGAAGCATTGCCTCAGACACTTTCCCTCTCAGCACTCTAGCAGGTGTTGAAGCACTTAAACAAGACCAAAGAGAAGCATGGTTCATTGTTTGGATTCTGAATATCTCTTTGTCTTCCCATGACATTGTTTTATTTGTGTCACTGGTCTGTTCAATCTCAGGTAAATGAGGTATTTTGGGTTTTTTAACTAGTTTTTATTTACACAAAAAGGTTGGTGGCTAGACACTGCAGCCATTTTCCTTCACAGCTCCAAGAACTTACTGACTAGTAAAGAAAAAGTCAAAGGACCTCCACATTTGGAGGGTAAATGATTTAGTTTGCCATTGACCTTGTGTACTCATATTTATATTTAGAGAAAGCCATATGAAATCAGACTGCAATATTAATTATGAATGCTACTCTTGTATTTAAAATAAATTAAATACAAATTCATGTGCTAAATCACTTTGGAGTTCCTCTGTCCATGTTTCTAGTACCATATGTTGGCTTAGGTCCCTCCCAGCCCCTCTCCTTCATCAAGAAAGTCCATACCAATGCTTCCGAATACATCTTTTTGGCAAGCTTACTGTGCTTGAATAAGCATTGTTAGAAATTAGTCTTAGTTAGAAATCAGCGTGATGTCTTATGTATCTGAAAGTTGTCTGTATCTGTTCTGAATATGTTATTGAGATAACTGTTTCTTCATGCACTGAATTAGTAAATTGTTTCAGTAATGTCATTAAAAAATTACTTGTTTTCTCTCCTTCTCTCTCACACACACAGAACAAATTCAACATAGCCATGCATTTTCTAGTAGAAATGCTCCCCAGCTTTCTTTCAGATGCATGCAGTACTCTCCAAGCAACTAGAAGATGACTTAGAGACTTTGTGAATATGAATTTCATTTGTTATTTGCCTGCTACTTTTTCCTGCATGATGTGGGTAAATGGTATGATGTTCTTTTAAAATGGAATCACAGCCAATAAAAAAACTCAGTGATTTCATACATTTTTTGCAGTGCTTTCCTGTGAAATTCCTACCAGGCTACACTTGGAAATTGAAGTTTGGATGCTGATACACAAATAGAATGGTAACAGAATTGAGGAGATACATGGATATTATTCACAAGGGTATGTTAATTTTTTAATTTGTCAAAAACACTGATGATTTTTGACATCTACAGGTGATAATCAAATTTTAAATAAATTTTTTAATTAGGATTTAGGGTTTTTTAGGAATAGCAGTACAGCATTCCTTGGAAAGAAACACAGGCATTTGACTATAGTTTAGTGAGAATATGTTTGGGTCTTAAAAAAGGTAAAAAGCTGGTTTGCAATGACATCAAATACATCTCTGGAACCAGAATTTGTGATACATACAAAACTCTGGGTGGCAAGTTGCACACAGCTAAACCTTGATTTACTTGCTCAGGGACAAATCAGTAGTGGTTATGTCCAGCATAAAAACATTGCGTCACATTAGAAAAAGAAAGAGAAATAGCCATACATTTCATAGGAAGCGCTGATACTCTTTCCCCTAGAAAAGGTCTTCCTTGGGACCATTGCATGGCAATGTGTTTGTTTTTTTTACTAACAGTGGCAGCAACAGGACCATCACAGAGAATCAAACCATATTATTTACATCCCATAATACCTACTCAGACTTTGAGCCGAACACTGTTAAGTCCAACACACACTCATGCTACTGCAGCCTGTGAATTCAAGGACAGGCTCTTCATTTACTCCAAGTTTCAATTGAAGTCTGTGTTTGAGGAAGATAACAGAACAAGAACATATTTTTCATTGATTCCCCTAAGAAACAGCCAGCTTAAGGGAACCAGAGGATTTGGATACCAAAGAAGGAAAGCAGGTGATTTCGACAGGCTTCATTTTGCAATTGAGGTAAATTATTATTTGGAAGCAGGTTCTGTCTTCTTATTAAAAAGATACAGAAGGATAATTCCGGTGGTTATGCTGGTGCAATCTACATTTTCCCACTTTAAAAGTACACTTTCTCAGGTAAAACATTCTCCAAGGGAGAACAAAACAAGAAGAAATTGTCAGGCACATCATGAGTGGTTCTGGTGAAAAATCACTCCAGTTACAGACATGCATTAGTGATCTACTTATCAGATACTCACCCTGGTATACAATGATTAGCCCTACTGCAAGTTCTCAACCTTCACTGGCAGCAATGGAGGCACAGACTACATGATCGAGACAGATATTAAAATTCTAAATAAAAAGCTGTGTCTTAAGTCCATTTTAATAGCTTCATTTAATTTTCTTCCTGAAGTACCATTGATAATCTAGGCCTCTTAAAGCTCTCTTTGAAAATGGGACCTGAATGAAGGCTACTGGACAATGCTGGCACAATGCTGTCCTGTGTATTGACATCCCAGGAGGTTTGTGGCAGGCATCAATAACATCACTTAAAAAATCTCAACCAAGATTTTTAATTTTCCATTCCAACTGTCCCTACTCTCTTCAGCAAAAACAAGGTTACAACTGCATTGGGATATTCCTCGTTGAAGATATCTCTGCGACAGACTGTCTCTGGTGATTTTACAGACAGTTTGAGATAGGTTCTGACAACACAACTGAGAAAGACAAATGGCTGGAGCATGTGATGACAAACATGCATACTTTCCTAAGCCTTCAGTATTTAGAGGGAAGCAGAATTCTGCTAGTGCTGTGGGATGGAAACAATTTTTTCATATGAAATTTGCTTTCCTCCCAAACCCTGTGTTTATACTAGAAGGTCGGATACAGCAGTATATTTGACAAGGTCAAGCCGCAGCATGTGAGAGTGTTTTGAGTCAGAAAAGGACTTCTTTAAAACTTATATAATGAACATTTAAGTGGTCTATGAGAGGTTTATACCATGGCAAACAACAATTCCCTGAATGAAATTGTAGTTAATTTCAATTTAATTTTTAATAAAATATTATTCTAAAATTTCAACAAAATGGAACATATTATTTCCAATTTGTCAGCTACTGGTCAAAGAAGTCAAACCCAAACAAAGGACAGTCTACATGAAAAGGGAGACTAGGTATTGAAACAGAATTAAGGTATTAAGACTTCATATTCTGTTTCAATTTTCACTTTATTGGTGCTGAAAATAGCAAAAGTATGTGTACAATCACTTCAAATTTTTTTATCATCCTGAAGGTCATACATGGTTGAGATGGGACTATTTACTATTCCAGTTTCGCAGGCTGTTAAGCTGTGAATTTTCTGCACACATAAACCCAATATCTGGAAGCTGGCTTTTAAACTGATGAAAATGACACACCTTTCCAGCTTTCTCTATCTTACTAACAGCTGAACAGATGCTTATCAGATATTTACCCCTCAGCCACAGAGAATCCTCTTTTTTGTAAAGACTGAGCATGGCAGGTCTCAGACCAAATGTGAACATTTTAAGGTAAATGCACTTACAAATAAATAGATTAGTAGAGATTGACTCTGAAAAAGTACCTTAGTACTGAAACTCATCTGGGAGATTTGGGGACAAAACCTACAACTTTTACTTCGTTCTAAGTAATACTTGAAGAATTCCAGCACTGTTATTGCCAACTGCTAGCAGACAATCAGGTTACGGATGGGAAGCCTTTATTTTTTAGGTGATTAAATGAAGAATTGGGTTTCACAGTACTAAATGGGGATGAGACACAAGGCATTTTGAGTTTTCTCCACATTATGTTACAGTATAACATTAGCAAGCTCCTAACAATCTCTTGTTTTTACCTAAAAAAAAAAAAAAAAAACGATCTCTGTGGGAGATCTCTGTGGGATTGAAGCCATTTTTAGTATGGAGTTGAGCCATGCTAGTTTAATAGGTTATGACAAAGAGAGATAAAAACAAAACGCCCACTACACAGTTAAAATAACGGTCTGTCAGATGGCAGTTGCTCGTGGGTTTTTTAGGTCAGCTCAATACAGCTTTGCACTATTCAGGGGGAGAAAAATTGTAACAGAACATTTTAGTGAAAATTTCCTAGGCAGTCTACTCAAGTTCTCTTATTCACTGAGGTTGTAAGGGAATAGCTCAGCAGGAACACTACAGTCATGCACAAAAACAGGCTGTGGAGAGCTATCCCTGTGCTAAGCACAAGGGACAACACTGCCCAGTTATTAGAATCTCGTTCACTTGCTTGAGAAGAAGCTAGAGCTACAGAACTCCTCATTTTATCCAATGGTGAAGTGAGGATAATGATACCGACCCATCTTTGAGATTTCCCAGTGAGACACACTGTCCTTTACATAACCAGCCTTCTCTGAGAATCTTGCAGCTCAGATGTCAACAATATCCAAGGAATATATGTCAGACTCTTGGGAATGATGAGATGAAACAAATTAAAAAGATGTGACTTACCAAATGTTACTGTAGACTATGACACAATCTGAAATTAGTTATAACAGCCTAGGTGATAGTCAAATATTTAAATGTATTTATTTTTCAGATGGAACTGCATACTTATATAAGCGGAAGACACGGAGTGCCCCCTTGAACAGCTAGCTGTGATTCATAAGCAGCCTGGCAAACAAGAGAGACATAGTCAATTCATTACAATTAAATATTCTTTGAAGATAAAGCATCTGCTGTTGATTTTTTTTTTGCCTGCATGAACTGATCTAAGCCTCTTTAAAGCTGACTATAGATTGACCATTATTAACTTAATGTTATTTTATGTTTCTCAGAGACTGCAAGTGTTCTGCACTCCAAAAATTACTTTCTGCCCTCAATTCACTTCTCAAATGCTGAGACAAGATGGTCCTGCCTCACTTGAGGCATTCAGCAGATGTTGCACGGGTGTTAAATTAACCCTCAGCAGAAGTGGCATCTCACCATGAGCTTTTCTTCCAATTCAGGCATTTCTCTGAACTAAGAGTATTTACTCTAGTATTTTACTTACTTGTGATTATTGTAGTCTCCCCAAAGCAAGGATCCTCCAGGAAAAGCAATGAAGACAAAATATTTGTCTTGTTTTTATTTTTTAAAAAAAAGTCATTCCCCCCCCCCAACAAACAAAACCAAACAAAAAACAAATAAAGAATAAACTTCTTAAGACTTTATTTATTAATAAGTAATATAAGAGATTAATGAAGAGTAAAAATTTTGCAAGTCTTCTTCCTGCCCCTCTTCCAACTAGGAGCTCTGAGTACAGACTCAAGGAATGATGTTGTCAGCATGGAAAGAAATGCTGAGGGCTGAACAAATTCAGAGTTCTTTATGAGTTATGTCCCATAGTACCATGGCTGGTAGTAGTCACTGTCAGTAGGGTGACTAGAAGCCTCCAATTAAGACCAGATTCCCCATGGAAGCAGGCTGGGCTACATCCAAGGTCTGAGATATAGTACCAGCTGTTGTCAGGGAAAAGGTACACCCTGCCAGTAGAGGCCTGCTTCCCAGCAGATCTCCTGTGCCAGAACACTATTGTCTGGTGGAAAGACCAGAAAGGAGAGAGAGAGCTTTGTAGCGAGAAAGTGAGCTACTGTGCTAAAACACACTTGTCCACTGATGACTGTAAAAAGCTTGTTAAATCCTGTCTGTTCTGGCTTGTAAGTCCCTGGCATGGTTCTATCCAAAGAGAATACTCAGATTTTATGACTAAAATAAAAACAAAAGATGTGAGAAAGAGCACATTCACTAATAGTGTTGTCACACGTGATGGGACAGGGAATGGCTGCTCAGCAAGCCTGAGGGACCCTTGAGGTGCTCTGGAGAGGTAAGACTGGGGTAAATATTTGTCCCTCTTTCTACAGTTTATGAGTCTCTCTGCTCAGTCACTTTTGACAGTGCTCCAGTTTGCTGAGTGGTGAAGGACTTGCGATCACCAGGACAAGTGTTTCATAAGCCTGGGAAGCTCAGGGCTTGACTGTGGGCACATGGAAGTGCTGACAAGAGCTCAAGCACTGTGTGTTCATTTCTCATGTCAGCTTAACTCGGCCAGAAAACCCATTTGTCTTCCTTGCCCAGAACAGAAGGCACATTCTCAGCTCAGCCTAGTGACCACAGAGCAACACATGGTCTTCTCTAAAGCACAGATGCCTAAAACCCACATATTTCCCTTTTCAGATATCTCTCATTTTTACCTGAAAAATGAAAGTATGAGACATTTCCAGGTGAAAACATTTTTGACCAGCTCCACCCTTGCATTAAATGACTCTTATGTCTCCATTGCCACATTGCTTGCAAGGTTCATTCCTTTTATGCCTCTTTGCTCATGTAAAGCTGGGACCACTACCCTCACAGTGTCCAGTTCATAAGATCAGTAGCTACTTTGTCCCCTTGTCCCTTATGCCAGCCATCTCAGGCATGCTGAGAAGCTTTTCCAAGGCAGAGAAGAAGCTGGTGAGGAATGAGTTTCAGGCAGTGGAGCAGATAGCTCTGCTTGGCCTTCATTGACAGCTTTGCAAACTAGTGTCCAAATTTGTTCTGAGAGACCACCCCAGAAACTCCATGCTGCACTATCAGGTTCCCCAAACATCCCTAGAATATAGAAGGTCTGTGACAACATACGGGACTTTCATACTTTGCTTCCTGCTTCCATACCTCCTTCCCTACTACCCTTCTACACCTCTTTCAGTGATCTGTCTAACAGCATCCTGACTGGTTACCAACATGTTTGATGAGAACCTGGGACCCTCTCCAACTTCTGAGGATCAGAGGGCCAGGAAGGGAGATTTCAAATCCTTGCTCACAGATATGATACCTGAGGTCTCACCAAGCTTCCACGCTGTTGGACAAAAATGCCAGGGCATTCCTTGTGCCTAGGGGCCTAATACTTGCTTATCCTGAGTAGTATGCTTAAGAAACATATTTTCCAGACATGTTGGCGCCAGTTCTTTCCCAAGAGTGAGTGCCTTACCCAGCCTCATGGAACATTTTTACACATAGCCACCACAGAGTATTCAGATAAGAATAACAGCATCTTATGTAAGCTTGTATTTGGAGATAATGCACAACAACTTTTCCCCAGTATGTTGCTGTTTGGCAGAGATCATCTGGCTCTGGTTCACCCTGAGTCTCTGCAGGCATTTAACACTACTCTTGTTCATTAATTGGTGGAGACTTAAGCTTACATCTTTCACACATTGCCTTGTTATTGCCAATAGACTTTGGCAGACGACAGTGAAGAAATTCTATTCATGCTTCTCTGAGGAAGACTTGCATGATCTAGGAAGGTAAAAAAGCAACAACTGTCTTCCTCATGAGAATTAATTATACTTAAGATTTCCATGCTATTGGGGCAGTGTTATAAAAATATGATGAAAAATGGCAGACCAACAAGAAATTTACCCATATTAATTAGCCTGAAGTTGCCTTGGCTGTTGGGAAATGAATTGTAATTTATTCATCAAAGAATGGTCTCTCCCTATTGTTTCACAGTGGATTCAAAGATATACTAATCTGACAAAAGTCGTCAATGCCTAGAACTTTGGTTTGTCCAAACAAAAAGTGAACCATGTCCAAAGTCAGGTCTTTAAGTTCAAAGCATCTCTGAGCAGCACTGAAGTTGTGTGAGCAGACATCGTCTCAGCATGACTATGTTACATTCTCACCCTCTCAGATGAGCCTTCCTTCAGTGGGATTTAATTACAAGATGTCACACATTCCCTTGAGGCCCTCCTTACTAGGGTCTCAGTGGAGGCAGTAGTGATGACCTTATTGCGGGTTATGGAAGAAAACTTTCCCTCTCATCGTGTCTCAAAATGGCATGTCTCAAACTGCCCTGCACTATTTCTGCAGGAGCACCTTTTTTTACTGTCGGAATAACTGGAATGCCATCTTAAGGACACTACTAAGACCTATCGGTACTGTCAGATGTCAATGTAACATAAGATGTCATACCTTTGGCTGACAAATAGTTTGATATAAGAGAGTTCTGTAAAATGTCTCTTTACCCAATCTGGGACTAACAGTCTCTGATGGGTGCCTTACTTAATTCCAAACTGCATGCACAACAGTTCCCCTACAAGTGGTAGCCATCACACCAGATGTCTACATGTGCAGAACAGAAGTACCAGTGTGAGTATGTGCCTGATTCTCAAAGCTTCACAGCTATACTGACTCCTTGTGTTTATGGAGAAACCCATTCCTGCAGGAGCATGGGTGCCATGTGACTGTAGCATACCCTTGTACCAAGTAGAAGCTGTAATCCAACCAAGGCCTTTGGCTGAACACCTGCCATGCTATGGCAGAAGATGCATGTGGCAGAATGCGGTACAAATGACAGTATGACTAGACAAGAAAATGAAGGGCCAAACAGCACCAGGAGACTACTAGCATTTCCAGGTTGACTGCTAAGGACAAATTTCCTTCCAAGGACATGTTACCAGTGAACGTACTCCAGCTGTGTCATGTCAATATGCAGCAGGATGAGCTTGTGTGAAAGGTTAAGGCAGAGGATGAATGGATATAGTACATCACTGAGATTTGATTCCACACAGTAGGGGTTCCCTTCATAGCTCCTTGCTCTTAATCTCCCCTTGTGGTTGGGCTTGTTGTGGAAATGTCTTTTTAGGAAGAGAATGCACTATTATACATCTCTGTGAGTCATCAAATGCAGCCTGGATTTTTGGCACAAAGAGCCTGAGGAAGTAGAGGAACCAAACCTCCTCATTTAGAGTAGCAAATGCCTTCCAAGGGAACATGAGATGGGATAGAGAAGAGGATGAGGACATTTGAGGAGAATAATGGACTCCAGCAACTCTATGAGTCATAAATCGAAGACGTTTATTGACAAGTGCGTTTATATATCTTCCTGACAACTGATCACACATAAACAAAAGGCTTGATAGGTTACATGCATTCTCCACACACTGTCCACGTACCTAAGATTAACATTTGATTGGTCATTACCCTCTGTCCATAATACACCAGACAACTCACTGGCTACAAGTTAGTTACTGATATCCTAAGCCTATTGGTTAATTAAATCTTACAAGCACAAACACAATGTTCTATGCACTTTCAGCTCAAGGTACAAAACTTTCCACTGTTTAAGAAATGACCAGAGCTTTTCCTTTAACTGTCACCTTGCATGTCTTCTTCAGACAAAGCTCAGTATCCTTATCTTGTTTTTCTACATTCCTGTTTGCTGCTCCCAAGGCTTCTGGCCAGACAGGGTCGAGATGTCCTCATCATTCACTAGCTGTACAGCACTCCCTGTTCTTCCCACCCGTCCTGCTACAGACATTCAAGAGGATAAGGTTGCTTCTGTCCTTAGAGTCCTGCACATATTCTGGGAAGACATCCTCTAAAGCTGAGAAGAATTGGCAAACTCAAGCCCCAGTTAGCAATGCTTCCCCTGCCATTTCCCCAAAGACCAGATCAATCAATCTACTTGGCAATTACTCACCAACTTTCTCTTAAATTCAGGCTTAACTAAAAGCACAAGGTGCTTTCTAATAACATTACATGTAAAACTGTAAAAATTGAAGAAATAACCTTTTTTTTTAACAGTTGCCTTAGATCTCTCCCACATACAAACCCCACAGTAAAAAGCCAATGTTCACTCACAGTGAGAGTGTTTAGTAATACACAATAACCAAACCATGTCTGTTCTACTTTAAAATAACTCACAAATGC